TAGCGTCACTGTACCACTCTCACCGCCGTTAGAAAGTACTAAGTAGCAAGCAACTGAAGCAAGTGCAATTATGGAGGGTGGAGATTTGGAGTATTTAATCAAAATAATTGTACTAAACTTCCGCTACAGCAGCAACAACAACTAAAATCTGATGACAGGCCGATGCCCAAACTGGAGCTGTGTACAGCGAGGAAAAAAGGACTGAATCGGACGTAAAACGTTAAAGGTCTCCTGATTTAGTTTGTGAATGAATGCTTATTAGAGTTTCGGTTGGAGAATTTCATTTCATTTCAAACCTTTATTTATCCAGGTGTATCCCATTGAGATCATTGATCTCTTTTTCAAGGGAGACCTGCTCAAGTAGGTTCCACATGAAACATAAAAACATAAACAGAACAACAAAAAGGACATCATACAGCATCATTACAGGGTTTACAATTTACAATAACTATCCACATGAGCAGGTACCAACAGCTTCCGATTGGGTAGCATCCAACCGAGCTTTAAAAACATTTAGTGGCACCAGATTGCTCAGTTTCCATTTCAATTGCAGACTGTTCCAAAACAGAGGAGCTGCGCATCTAAATGCCATCTTCCCTAAGACAGTCCTAGCAGTTGGCACATTTAATAAAAACACAGCATGCGATCTCAGGCAGTAGCCACTTACAATTTGCCGTGAGATCAGGGAGCAGATGTAGGATGGAAGTTTCCCTAACATGGCTTTATATATAAAAATGTACCAGTGACTGAGCCTCCGTACAGTTAGTCAAAGCAAACCAGCCCTTGCATACACGGTGCAGTGATGGGTTAATGCTTTATAGTTTGTCACAAATCTCAGTGCGCTGTGATACGCAGCATCTAACTTGACCAGGCAATTGGCAGGTGCATTCATATAAATCAAATCACCATAGTCCAGCACAGGTAAAAAGGTCACAGTGACTAGCCTTTTCCTGGCCTCAAGCGAGAAACAGGACTTGTTCCTGTAGAAGAAACCTAGCCTAACCCTCAGTTTTTTTAAGTACATTAATGACATGACGTTTAAAACTGAGACAATCATCAAGCCAGATACCAAGGTATTTGTAACAGGTAACCACTTCAATTTAAATTCCTTGTGTAGTTACAATATCCACAACAGGCTCTGGTGTCTTTTTAGCTTTTGAAAAGAGCATTACCTTGGTTTTATCAACATTTAAAAGAAGCTTTAGTTCAGANCCCATTGAGATCATTGATCTCTTTTTCAAGGGAGACCTGCTCAAGTAGGTGTATGATGTCCTTTTTGTTGTTCTGTTTATGTTTTTATGTTTCATGTGGAACCTACTTGAGCAGGTCTCCCTTGAAAAAGAGATCAATGATCTCAATGGGATACACCTGGATAAATAAAGGTTTGAAATGAAATGAAAATATGGTGTTCTTAGTTTCCATACCTCCTGTGTTTTACGAGCGACTTATCAAGTAGGTGGCGAACGGCATAACACATGATTAAACATGATAGTATATAAAACCATGCTCGTATCTATACAAACTATAGAAAAGCAAAATGGCGTCAGTTTAAAGTAATTCTATCCTTCTGCATACCGCATCCTTTATGAGAATATATTTCTTAACAAGAGAACATAATCGAGGGGTGGTCTATAACATATCCGTATTTATTTATTTCTCCAAGTTATGTTTTTGTGTGCACTGAGGAGTCACAAACCGGCGTTTGTTAAATCATTTTAAGATTGTGTGTGCCTTGGCAGTCTCAGATAATTCTTTATGATACATGAGAGGTAACATTTTATTTATGGTATTATTTCCACATATTTCTCTCCATTCTTCCTTCTACTAACGGTGTCGCAGTTTCTCGTCTCTCCCTTGTTTGTGCTTAGTGCGTACACATGGGTCAGAGTTTGCGTGGAGGACCGCACATTTTCCCGTCAAGTTAGTTTTTTATAAATCGCAAACAGTGCGCAGAAACTGGTGGACACCATATTTTGTGCGTACGCACCGTTTATAAATGAGGCCCCTGATCAGTTATCCTATTATCTTCTCTTAACGCCAGGAAGTTTCTCACAGAAGTTAAGAAATATTTAAGAAAAGAAGATATTGCTCTGATGTTTTGACATGTGGACGGCAACCCCCAGTTCAATGCACCTAAATGGTATTCAGCAATATTTACATTTTTATTATTTTTTACACCTGTACTTTTCCTACCGTCACAAGTAAAGTGTTCTTCCCTGAACAAGACATGTCTGATTCAGAGGAGATTCTGCCACCTGAGGCGTTAAATATAACAGAGATGTAGCAAGCAGTGAATTTGCATTGACAACACATTAACACAGCAAAGTGGAGCAGGAAAAAGACGGAGTCTCTTAAATACAGCATATTAAATATAGAGCAGGGGAAATAATAATTATAATAATAGTTTTCTTCTCATATTAAGACCTGTTTCTCTCTTTATTTGATGTAAATAGAATCCCCTGCCGCTGTTTGAATGTATGGATGCTACACAAACAAACGGATGATAACTACCAATTGAGATACTTGCCCCACATTCCCGCTGTAGAAACAGCTTGGGAAGCTCAAATGAGATGAGTGTTTAAACAATAACCGTTTCCTACTCCCTGTGGCCCTGCATGTTTGAAGAGCAGGAGCAAAAACACGTTAGTGGTTAATTTTTGAAAAGCTTCTGAAGAGCTTCCCAATTAACCTAAACTGCACTGTATATCTGCTCCATTTCTCCCGTGCCATGTGACCCAGACGATATCTTCATGCTCAATATGTGACTCTATTGGGTGGATATCTCTCTGAATCGTGATATGATATGGAGCGTGCCGTGCACTCACTGTGAGTAAAATAGAAAAGACTGGACAACCAAACCCTTTTTCCTCACGTTGATAGCAAACAGTATTTAATCATGCAGTGTTATTATCCAGATTATCAATGTTGATGTAATTATCAAAATCAGATTCGCAAAAGGTCAGATTCTACATGAGATAAATAAGCAAATAAAAGCGTAGCTGGCTGCAGCCACTTGAGCACTCATCTAAATGGAAAGTGACACTGGGCGATGTACTCCACCGTACATGCACTTAATGAAATGAGACGATGACATGCATTCATTAGTATAACTTGTATCATATTTCTTAATGGCATGTCTAGAGCAGGCTGTGTGTACACGTAAAGGCACCTTGTTTCCAGTAAAGAAGAATAATGTCACATGCAGAGGGTATTAGTCACAGAGCAGCAAACACATTCAGTTGTTATCATATTTTGGACTAGAAAGTATTTCATGGTATTTGGCAAATGCTTTGATAATTGATTGATGGTTTAAGAATAAATGGAATTCCAAGTATTTGCTGGTTCCAGTCCCTTAAATGGGAGGAATTGCTGGTTCTCTCTTAATTTCGTCTTGTATTACTATAAATGTAATATTTTGTTGTTTTGTAATATTGATTGGACCTTGAAACGACCCTTAGTTCACAGAAATATACAATGGATTTCTATGAGATTTTATTCAGACATACATGGTTTCCAAAAAGGTAAAGTAAATCAAAAACTATTGAGAGGATTGCCGCAAAGTTTGGTAAGACATTTGGGACTACAAGAGGATAAATCCTTCTGACTTGGGTCACTTTTCCTTATGCGCCACAAGAATATTGATTTACTGAAGATTTTTCCACAGAATTACATGATTCTTTGAGGATGAATCCTACCAATTGTTTATGAGTAGTTGATTCTCTTTTTAGCAGCACCGTGAGTTTGACATGTGTGGTTTTCAGTGAAATAATACAGCAACTTTTAGATGTATTGGACAACCTGCTCCACTAAACTGGAACACAGGCCCAATTCCAAACAGACCCCTTCTCACTTCCACTCCGTTTGCGCGTTTACATGGAGGGTTCGACACATTAAGTGCAATTCCAAACCAATTAGTGGGACGTAAATGTGTGTCTTTAAACCCTCCGACAGCAAGCCAGCTTTGGACCTGATTAACCTGCTGTTGGTGTCATGAAGCAAAATAAGATTAACATTTAATATTCAGACCTGCAAACTTTAACACTAGAACCGCCAGAGGTCGCTGTATACCTAAAACTGCCAATCGGTAAAATGTACCCGCTATTACAATGCATTGATTTTCAAGGTACAATGTTCTTTTATTCATCATACAAGAACAGTGAGTTTGGATCGCACAGGGGTGAAACTTATACCAATAGAATCTGTGGACTGTGTGGAGCTTTTCATATGATATAGTTTGTGCAGATAGTATGAAGTATTAGCAACGGTAATGCCTCCTGTCTTTTTCTTTTGTCCATTTCTGAAATATGACCGGCTCTCGATCTATCCATTTATCCATCTATAACTATCTATATAACAATTCAATTCAATATGCTTTATTGCTATGAATGTCAGTTGAACAATATTGCCAAAGCGTCAAGGATAATACAATTGATTAATGATATGATGAGAAAAATTCATTCATTAAACAATTTACAATAATATATTATTATTATTACAAAACCGCAAGTATCAAATGTAAAAAGAAAGAAAGAAAGAAAAGAAAGACACATGAAGTAGAGGAGTAATCAGAAGTGAGCTGTGAGGAGATGAACAGCTGTTAAGTGTTGTTGTTGTTGTCTCTAGTCTTAGGCTATGACATGCGCTCCCATATTTTGCTGCTTCTATGGTGCTGGCACTATTTTCTCCAAGTACATGTTGCATTTTATTCTGGTCAGACAGTGAATCAAAATCTTGGAGTTTACATGTTATCTTTGTAAATAACTTTGTTCTAATGTCTTGGTATGTTTGACAGTGCAGCAGGAAGTGTTGCTCTGTCTCCACCTGTCTCTGTGGACAGAGCTGACACTCTATCTCTCTCTCTCTCCATCTATCTATAACTATCTATTTTTCTCTTTATATCTCTGTTTCTCTCTATCTATCTATCAATCTATCTATCTATCCATCTATCCGTTGTGTCCTTTAGCAAGACACTTCACCCGACTTTGCTCCTGTGGGTAATGTCCACAGTAATGACTCTTACATGTCTAATATGTGTAATGTGTAATTGTAAAGCGCTTTGAGCACCTGCAAAAACGCTCTAATACAAAATGTGATGCATTATTAATATCTATATCTCTATCTATAAGGAACCACAGTAGACAAAAGGCATTGCTATAGCAACACGTCATGTTTATGTCTACACGCAAAATAAATAGCGCGAAAATCGCTGCATTTTCTATGAGGTAAATATTACCCGCTGGCGCTAATGGGTATGAATGGCAATTTATTTGGCGATTTTTTTCAATCTTGCTTCATATTGAACATTTTTAACAACAGAGGGTGCTACATAACACACTTTCAGGAAAAATTACGGACTGGGAGACAAAAAAAAAAGTTACTTACAATCAAAAAACAGCTGCGGGTAAAATGTACCCATTGTTCTAGTGTTAAAGGCTATATTGTATTTTTATTTACTTAACATTGTGTCTATGTAGCAGCCAGCTTCTAGCTATGTAAAACATATATGTTTGTTAATTGTTTTTATTAGCATTTTGAGTATTGTAAACCCCTATGTTGCATGTTAATAATAATTGTATTTACTTGTTATTTTAAATATAATTTGTTTCAAGGGTGAACATTAGCTTCTTTGCTTACTCTGGCGAATTTACAGAAATGTCTATTAATGTGCACTGTCCCAGCCAAATGTACTAAAAAATAAATAAACTAGCAAACTTTAGACTTGTGCATTTGATTGTAAAGTGTTGTATATTAACAGGGGCCGTAGGAAAAACTAAGCAGCTCATAGACACAAGATTTAAAAAATAAAATACTTTTTTAATACAAATTTGAAATATTTGTTCTAAAGATTTTTGAAATATTACTATCATAATCATTATTACTATTATTTGTTGCTGTTTATTGATTATAAACCATGGTTATGAGAAGTGACGACAGTTCCTGTGTCTGCTTAAGAGATGGGAGTTCCCTCAGTTTTTACACCCCCCCTCCTCAAAGAAGGAGCCCCATTCAGCTGTAAGTGTGAGGGGGAGTGTGTAGTTTGGAAATGGGCCACACTGCACATCGACACAAACTCTGATGCTAATGTGGAATCTGTTTATTAAAACCCTTTATCCATGTGTTTAATATGAATAGGTCAGTTTGCAGATGCCTGGCCACACGCTCTGAATTACAGCAAACACCCACCGAGTCAGACAACCACCGACTGCATTTCAAATTAACATTTTTTGAAAGCTCACTGAGGGAGGGGGAGGAGGTGGACTCTCAGACAGTTGAGTCCAATTAAACAGCCTGTGTGTGTAGGCATTGTGACAGACTTGTAGCTGCTGCAGCCTGAGCATCAAGGGAGTCCCTCAGTGTGTGTTTGCATTATGGAAATGTTACATACAGCAAGCCCTTAACGCCTAAGGCAAATATTAATTATTCAATCTTTTTGGCAAGACAGGCAGCGCAATCAAATAGCCTGCTTAAAACACTCAACACAAATCAATGTAAAGCTGGTAGTATTTTGCATATTGAGACAGTATATAATCACACAACTGAGTCTGAGAGCAATGTATTCCCAGTGGGTGGATGAGCAGTGACTATGGGATATTTTCAGCGATTTCACAGATGTTAAAGATTGCAAAAAGGAGAGAAAGCTTCTTTAAAGAGCGACTTGCAGGTTGTTTTTTTTCTACATTTATGCTTAAACTTGCTTGAAAATTACAATCAAAAAAGTGAATGTAGGATTTGATATGTTTTACGAGACATAAGGGCAGGAATTCAGAGGGAAAGGAGCAATTTTGAGCTCTGCTCTTAAAAACGGCTTTTTTTTAAGGTCATACGTCAAACGCTTCATATTACATCACAAAGGGTAAACATCGCCGCTCTCTGACCGCGGGTATAGTTAGTAGTTGCGTTGAGTTGAGTGGTTGTGTTTTAGTGAGCTGGTATTTTTCAGTAGTTTTACATTGTATTTCACCATTTGTAATCATGGTGCAGTATTGTGTTTGTGAAGGTTGCACAAATACCAGGACATCGAGTCCACAGTTTCCCTCACGGGAAAAGGACCGGAGCTAGCGTTCGTTCCTGGGTGTGTTGTGCATCCACCTCCCTGCAGCACATACTCTCCACAGCTTTATCAGGAAAGCGTATTACATCTCTCTCCCCCGCCCCCCTTCGCTGCTCTCTCTCTCTCTCTCCCCTCTGGTACATGGCACCGTAAGACGTAGTGTGGAGTTGCATTAGGTAACGCTGTGGTGGCTGTACTGCTCCAGCCGTCTCCTTTTGTGTCTTATTCGTTTCCCCATGCTGTTGTGTTTGTGTGTGCTGGTGGCTTGTCACTCCTGGCTCCCGGCTCAACCTTCACTCACCTGCTGCAATCAGCTGTGCCCCTCCCCCGACTACACAACCTGTTTCCTATCAAGCCATTTCACATAGCGAGCAATATAACGGAGGCTCCACAACCTTTCTCCAGCCAAGATCGTCAATATCAGCGTACTCTCGCGGTTCTCTCCTCCGTACACACACCGTAGTGTGGAGTGGCATTAGGTTAACGCGTAGATACGGCCCAAAGCATACTGAATACTTGCCGCTATTAGTTCTGTTATGGATGCAGTGGCTTGCTGCTTTTCGATTGGTGGAAGGGAGCGGTCCAGTGTTCTCGGCAGGAAGAGGGCGCTCTGGTAGAGGACGCACCGTTGACGCCAGCAGAAAAACCATGTATTTGTTGAGTCTACCTGACTGGGATTTGGACTTCCTTTAAACATGTGATTTCCCGGCCTGCTAGCCCCAGGCATGGCTAGCTCCCCTGTCTGCCCAAAATAACCCAACCTGGCACCATAGGTCCTCGGGTGGGTTCTTCTGAAGTCAACCCGGCTTTCTGCCCCGTTCCTGCTCCTGTCCAGGAGTTCGTATTCCGGAAAACTCGTCTGGTTAGGAGAGTCCACGGATGTATTCATGGCGGCGCTAAGATGAATGAGTCGCAAGGCCAGGATAGGCAGGCCGAGCCCCAGCAGTCCATGGTCCGGCTACAAGAACCGGCCCACACAGCCATGGTTCCGGCCCAGTTTCTGGCCCACAGCAGCATGGTTCAAGGCCCCAGGTTCATGGGCCCCAGCAAGCCATGGTTCCGGCTCCAATACAGGCCCTGCAGCCATGGTCCAGCCCCAGTTCTGGCCCCAGCAGGCCTGTGTTCCGGCCTCAGTTCTGGCCCAGCATCATGTTCAGCCCCAGTCTGGCGCCCAGCAGCCAAATTGTTCCAGCCTCAGGTCCTGGCCCCAGGCAGCATGGTTTCGTACTCCAGCTCCTCGTCTCGGCCGACGCCAGCCCCGTGTCTGTCGGTTATCGCGGACTCCAGGCACCTCGTCTCCTGTTGGCTTGTCGTCCGACGGCCGCTCCCCGTCGTCCTATCGGCACGTACGTCCGGCCGACTGCTAGCACCATACGTCTTGACTGTTGGTCTGTCACCCCGCACGCCAAGCTCCCCGTGTCCTGTCAGGCATACCGGACCGACACAAGTTCCCTCTCAAGTCTCCTCTCTCCTGGGCCTTGTGCTTGTCAAGTCTCCTCTCGGAGTCATCTCTTTCAAGTTCCTCTCCAGTTCCCCTCTCAAGTTCCCTTCCGGTTCTGTCTCGGTCCCCTTTCTCGAGTCCCCTTTCAAGTCACCCTCCAGTTCCCTCTCGAGGTCGAGTCCCCTCTCGAGTCATCTCTCAAGTCTCCTCACTCGAGTTCCCTCTCAAGTTCCCTCT